TGCCCCTTAACAATTCATTTCTTTCTTTTCTCCTCCCAATGCAACTGCTCTGTTCTATTCATCCATTCTAAAGAACGACTGTTAAATGCTGCACATTTACTTTGCAAAATTTATGATGATTTATGCTAGTGACAGCAAAAGGTAGGTGTAAGACAACAGCCATTCATATAGTTAATGACCTGATTACTTCAAGTCCGGTGCAAAAACGTATGTTCTCACCGGCCCGCTCGGTGCGTTCCAGCCTGGGTTATTCTTTTATATATACCATGATTGATATTTCTATTATATTTCAGCTCTCAATGGCTGTCTTGAAAGGCAAAACTCCCTCTACACTCAGTCTTTCCTAGAGTTGTAAAAAGCCCAGAGTGATAGCAAGTCCAACAACAAAGCCTAACTGGTGAGGAGAGTCGGCCTTGAAAGATGCACAATTAAACGCGTCTTTGAAATGCTTTCGTAGTTCTGACTGCAATCGATTGCTTCTTTTTCGTTAAATGCGGTGCAATGGCAATGCGCAGCAGACAGGCGCGTCGGCGGCCGCCCTCTTTGTGCGTGAAGACGGACGTACGGACGGATGGATGATAAACAGTAGTTCCGGACGCTTTGCGAGGACAATGTTCCACTCCGATGTGTGGCGCCCTCAGTGATTCTGTTTATTTGAAGCGCACAAACCTTCCTCGCCGATCGATCGCCTGAGCTTTTATTCGTGTCTCCAGCTGATTCTCGAACCACCCTAATCAAATGCTTCGTCATTCAGCACTCTCGCGTATCGTTCTCGGGCTTAACAGACGATCGACTGCCAGGCCGAAAAAAGAGGGGGAGGTAGAGGAGGGAGGGGGAGGGGGGAGGTCGCCCTTTGTTTTTGCAATAACAAAATATCACTACTCTCAGAGCATTTTGGAGACGGATAGAAAAATGGCCATCGTAACGAAAACAGCAGCTAGGGTGAGCGGATTCGCAAGGCGATAAACAAGGATAAGAGATGCGAGATGTAGATTAAGATTTCCCGGAATAACAAAAAACAAGAAGTGTTTTTATGGGTTCTACATAAATCTTGCTTGTTTGTGTATGCTTTCTTTTGGCCGTGAATTAACTCCGGGACCAAGAAAACTCAGAGGTGTTGGGGCGAGCGGAGGAAGCAAGGAGAATATATTTCCAAGCCCAGTTAATATCAAGAATACCAAGACTGTTCGAGCTCTCAGTGTGGATTTCCCCTGTTAATGATGTTACTAGAAGGCTCCCACAACCAAGCGCAATTATTCCAGCTTTAATTGGAAATTTCAGCTCATGAATGAATCGCTACTTCACGTCACTGACAGCGCATTTTTTTGCATTTGTAGCGAGTTGTATTGTTGTCAAGCTGAAAGTCGGAAAATTAGTCTCACTACCCCAACAAGACAATCAGTCCCCGTACGACTCTAACATTCGTTTCAGTGGTAAATTGGTACTGGTGCAAACCATCAACTTGCCCCTAAGCAGTCCTCAAAAGAGGAAGCCGTCGATAGCTTTGCTAGTCAGTGGTTGCTGTTGGCATTTGCTACCCCATTCGGGCGACTTCCCAAGTGCCTCTTTCTCGTG